GTCTTTATCTCCTTTAAAGAAGATAATCCATCTCCTTTAAAGATTTCAAGTACTGAGAAAAAGGATTTTGCAAACTGATGCAAGTGATGAATACTGGAGTGGAGAATCATCTTAATTGAAGAGTTCAATAGAACAAAGCATACTTATAGACATGCAAATAGACAATTCAAGGAAGTAGAAAATCACTACCATACATTATAAAAAGAAACTTTAGCAGCATTAAGAAATTTGAATTCACTTCAATAAGACATCACTTTTTGGTGCAATTGAACAATATCCTTCCCCAGAATTCTTAAATTTAAAAACAAGTCCTTGCCAGAAAAGCAATTCTCAGACTTAAGGAGTGGTTTACTAAATATGACTTTTTTAGTTCAGGGTATAAAAAGGTGACCACAAACTTATCCAAATCTCTTATCAAGACCAACTCAATCCTCTAAACCCATTCATTTCTTACCTTCAATTTTCATGGCTAGTAGTGGTGAAAAACCCTTAACTTGGCCCACAACCTCAAAGGTCCGCTTTCCCTCCTTACACTAATTTCAATAACCTTAAAAATGTTCAAACCTATGCAAAAAATGCATCCATTACGACCTAACTCTCACTCACCAAAGAAAAATCTTCTTCAAGATGTTTCTGTTTATTTCTACGATTATCCTTTCTTTGATTGGTTATTATTTGGATACTAATTCAAATTAATTCTTGAAGATCTATGGTTTCTTGCTGCCTCATTACTCTTTTATCATATTCCTCTCTAAGTGTTTTATATATTTAATGATGTTATGAGAGTTTTTTGATCTTAGAAATAATATTATGTTAGTTTTGTGGAACTTATTTCAAATTCCATCAATCTAAAGAGAATTTTATTTTAGTTATAATCAATTTCACGTATTTAAATTTTTTAAATTGAACTCTATATTTTTTTTTTAAAAAAAGTCTTCACAATTGGAACATCAGAATAAAATATTCTGGACCAAAATCCATGCATTGAAATCTGCACCAAGCATTATATTGTAGGTCTTCACATCTTTGTGAATGATTTGTCTCTTGCATTCTTCGTAACAATACATAAGAGCAGAAGCAATCCCCCAATTTTATTTTATATTCAAAAATTGCTTTCATGATAGGACAACTGTAGAATTTAAACTAAAGTGCATCATTTTTTTTTAGGCTCCCATTGATTGAGTAGGAATTAAAAAAACTAGGACTAGCTGAACCAAGTTCTTGTGTCTTGAGCAATCCACCATTGTTGGAAACTCGGTGGTGAAAGGATTGCACAAACAGTCTATAACATTGACCCTCCCGAATGTTTTCACTACCGCATCTCCTCTAGACTCTATAAACCTTTGTTATTGCCCCTTTCCGAACGAGTCTATTTCCTAACAAGTCTATCTCTATTAACCCCATTGTGGCTGATTTTATCTCAAAAAGTGACAATCTTATAGCGACTTTTGTCGTTGGAACTCTATAATTCTAACCTTCTTTGGTCAACAATCAAAACATGGTATTGAACAAATTTGTGTAATTCAATTTTATTCTAAGTTTTGCTTGTTTAGTTTAAAAAAAAAAATTAGAATTCATTTTTTGAGGAATTTAAAACCTATGGAATTGGTTATAACTAAAACCAAATTATTTTTAGATAGATAGAATTTAAAATGAATTACATAAACTAATATAATATTATTTTTAGGACTAAAATATATATAGTAACATTTTTTTATAATTATTAATAATTTAGCTTCTAATTTTAAGAAAGCCACGTTCCTTCAAATTCTTGAGCATTCAATTATAAAACAATGTAGCATATTATTTGTTTCAAAAAAAAAAAAAAAAAAAAAAAAAATCAAAAAAAAAAAAAAAAAAAAAAAGCAAAAGACTGTAAAATCTGCCGGCAAAAAAAAAAAAAAAAAAAAAAAAAGCAAAAGACTGTAAAATCTTGCCGCATTTCCTGTGATAAATGAATCCTTAATTCCATTTAACATGTCCAGATAATTATAGTGTACCATATTTCACTTTTTCTATCCATAATTAAAAGTTGTTTTAGACTAGTTTTTCAGCCCTATGCATAAATTCACCTCGTATTATATGTGAAAAAAACTTCACGACACTCTCAAATTTTTACTTTAACCTATCGAATACATCAACTTATAAAATTGCACCAATTAAATATTTCAACTTATAAAATTATTTTATTCCATATTCAAATTTAGAAAATTAGATCGATTAAATACTTATTAGATAGTTGAAAAATGTGAAAATTATTGTTCCAAAAATTATATTAAAAGTGAATATTTTTTTATATAAATGCCAAAATAATAAAAAAAATGTTATTGTTAGTATGAAGAAGGGTACAAATTCACAACTTTAGGGCATAACAGATCTCTTATAAAATTTAGGGCACCAAGGTTTTTTCATAAAATACATGAGTGAGTTGATTTTCGCCATAGTTTTTTTTTTCCGCAAATATAAGTTGTTTGGGAATATTATGAAGTAATTAATGAACTTTTCTTAATTTTACCTTATATATACCTCTCTGTTCACAAATATAAATCATTTTAGGACTATTTTTTTGTCTATAAATGTAAGTCGTTTTGAGAATATATATGAGTAATTAATAAATTTTTTTATTGACCTTTATTTATATTAAATGAATAACTATCTTTATAATTTTCTAAAAGATAATTTACTCAAATTAGTAAACATTTTATTAAAATTTATGAGAACCAATTGTTTCCTTAATCACTATGCAACAACTTAAATGACTTATATTTGTGAACATGGGAGTATTACACACATTAATGTAAATAATGTGGGATAAAAGTAATTTAGTCAAATTAATGAACTTTTTGTTTTAATATTGGAGAATTAGTTGCTTTCTTAATCACTATACAAAAACTTTAAACGATTTATATTTGTAAGAGATTATATTTTGGCATAAATTTTTTAGTATGTAAATTTATTACAAATTTTATTTATGGTATTAATTGGTTTATATAATTGTTAATTATTATAAATTCATTATATATATTTTTGGTTTATATCACACGTAAATTCTGCTCACGTTGCATCAGGCCTGAGCAATTAGATTTTTGTATTGAGTTAAAAATTATTATTTCTAAATTTATATTAAAGAATAAATGAACCAAATATTTACTGTGCAGATTCAATTAAATTCTACATTTTAAATTATATGAAAATTCATCAATAAATCCATTATATTTCATTTACTACTGATCTAATTTCTTGTAACTTAATCTTACTCTTGTAAAACCTGCTTTGATTTATTTATTTTGAGTGAAAACTGAATTTTTCATTTCAAAATCTACTTACTTCTCCTTTTCTCAGTTTTGATATGTTATGATTTGATTTTGTTCTCTTCGATTTTCATATATTAGTTCTTAAAACTGAAACATTCAATTGCTCTTAAAACGAATATCTTCTCTCAGTTTTGTTATTACTGATTTTAAGGCATTATTTTCTGGTATCACCAAAGCCGATTTCAATAAAATGACCTCTTGTTCTCTGTGTTTAGTTTTGCTTCTTCTCTTTTTTCTTTTTTCTTTTTTTTTTTTTTAATTCTGAGATTGTGATCAAACCGATAGCTCTTCTTGCATTTTCTTAAGAATTTGCTACTAATAAAAAAAAAATCTGCAATATTCTAAAATTCTGGATTGAAATTGTATTTGCATTGATATTTGCTTATGCCTTTTTTTAATATGGGTCTTTGTCTCTGATGAATGTGAATATTACTGCTGCACTGTGATTTTAATTGTTCATAATCATGGCTGATTATCGTTTATCACTGTGACTATTGTTGCTCTTTGCTGCTGGTTTTGTGTTGGTTGCTGGTGGTGGTTGTGCTTATTATGGTGGATGGGTTATTGAGTGGTTTATTTGTGGTGGCTGTGAACTGTTGTTGGCGGGATGGGCTTTGTCTTGACTGTTTGTGGCAGAGGGGATAAAAATGGTCTGAAAATTTGTTAAAGAATGGTTCCTCTCTGTGATGTGTAGGGATTATGGCTCTCTCTTTGTGATTTGAGATTTGTGGATTTGGTTATTGGATAATCGTTATACTTGATTCATGGATTGATATTTATGATATTTGGTTAATGGAAAATGGCTCTCTCTTTGTGATTTGAGATTTATGGACTGATTTTTTGTGCATTTGGTTATTGGATTAATCATGATATTGCTTATGTATTGATATTTGATTATTGATTGATAGTGGTTAATGGATAATGGTTCTTTCTTCGTGATTTGAGATTTATGGGTTGATTATTCGGTTAGTAATGATATTTGATTATTCGATTAGTCATGATATTTGATTATTGATTCACGGATTGATATTCGGTTAGTCATGATATTTGATTATTGATTCACAGATTGATATTCGGTTAGTCATGATATTTGATTATTGATTCACGGATTGATATTTATGATGTATTGGATTATTGGATTGGTCATGATATTTGATTATGGATTGATATTTTGTTATATAACTGGTTTATTGAGTTTTTTGTCTTTCAATTTTAAATGCTTAAGTAGTTAGATGTTATAAATTTTGGTAGATGTTCTGCATAAATGTGAAGCTTCTTTTTTTTTTTTTTTTTTTTTTTTTTATTTATAAACTGGTTTATTTGAGTTTTTCGTCCTTTCATTTATACAATGCTTAAGTACCGTTAGATGTTATAAATTTTCCCGAATTTAAGATGTTTCTTTGACTACACAGTTGAAAGCCTTTCTCTTTCTTTTTTCTTTTTTTTTTTTTCAATGTCTAGTATGTGGTGGGAAAGATTTTAGGAAGGCAATATAAAAAGATCAACACTAAAACTTTTTCAGGACCTTTCATGTGGCATTTAATGATTTCCCCAACTTCGGCTTTCTCATTTCATATAGTCATGGAGCATCATCAAAGCAAAAATGCGCGAATTGGATTAAAAACCGTTGACATTTCCATTTTTTTTTTTTTTTTTTTTTTTTTTAATGTTATATGGAGTGGAAGAATTTAGAAGGCAATATAAAAAGATAACATAAACTTTAGGACCTTTCATGTGGCATTTAATGATTCCACAATTGGTTTCTCATTTATATCATCATGGAGCTACATCAAGCAAAATGGGCGGATGGAGATTAAAACCTTGAATTCCAGTCAACTCCGCTTCACTGTTAGAGCACCCATTTATAAGTTTCTATTACATGAGCGGCAAACCAAATTGTTTGTGACCCCTAACACAAATGATGGTCACCCATAATTCTCTCTGTTAGATGAAGAAACAAATACTAATCACGCACCTGACTCTGAAGTACCGACATTCTTGAGCAAATGGTCACCTCCTGGGTACCTTTGTGGGGGACTGTCTGTTCTTGTCTTGGCAGGATAGGTAATCATCAGGCCTTTAAAGGGCAAAATTCACTGGAGAAATACTCTTCAACAGCTAGAGATAGTTGGACCAAAATCAGTTGGGGTTTGTCTTTTGACCTCTGCATTTGTCGGCATGGCTTTCACCATTCAGTTAGAGAATTTATCAGACTGGGACTGCAATGATCTGTTGGCGGTGTTTTAGTACTAGCCTTTTCAAGGGAATCGAGCCCTGTGGTCACATCAATTGTTGTCGCGGGCGGATTGGGAGTGCCTTTGCAGCAGAGTTGGGAACAATGCAAGTTTCTAGGCAAACCGACACACTGAGAGTTCTCGGCACAAATCCTGTTGATTATTTCGTGACGCCTAGAGTTATTGCTTCCTGTCTTGCTCTGCCATTGTTGACTTTGATGTGTTTCACAGTAGAGTTGGCATCTAGTGCTTTGCTAGCTGATGGTGTTTTTGGAGTAAGAATTAACATTATACTAGATTCAGCAAAGAGAGTACTTAGATTGTGGGATCTAATAAGTGCGATGATCAAATCACAAGTTTTGGGTGCAATCATATCAATCGTGAGTTGTGCTTGGGGAGTAACTACTTCAGGAGGCGCCAAAGGCCTCGGAGAATCGACAACTTCAGCCGTGGTTATTTCACTCGTTGGTATCTTTATTGCTGATTTTGCAGTATCATATTGCTTCTTCCGGGGAATTGGAGATTCTCTGAAAAATGCTATGTGATCAAATTGAATTACTGTTGTTGGTTTAGATCGCAGGTCCTGTTTCCAATCAACAGTGTGAAAAGAAAAGAAATACCAATGGTCCTAGTTGTGAAATTTGCATACTTCATCAGCTATTCAGTGGTTTCACTTTTTTATCTCGTATTAATCCCATAAAAACAAGGAGCTTGGACTTAGGTAAAACATTAGTTCCTGGTATAAATAGGGAAAATTAAAGTATGACACTGTCTTTTATGAAATACTATTAGTCAGTTTTTATATTTTTGGAAATATATTAAAATCCTCTTATAATTCACTTCCTGTGGGAGTATAAGGTTTTGTTCAGTTTTTGTATCTTTTATATTAAGTGCTTTATAAAATAACGAAAATATTGTTTTTCTCTCTTCACTTTTGGTATATTTTTAAAGCATATAGACAGATTAATTATATTTCTCAAACAGTAGAAACTTTAATGTAATTCTTCTTGTCTAAAATTTTAATCTCTCTCCTTTGATCTCTTTGTTTTCTTATTGGCTTAACGGAAAAGATACAAAAATCGAACAGAAAGATCTAAAAATATAATGAAAGCAAAACATATGGACAAATAGAAAGACCTAAAAACGTAATAAAAGCAAAACATAGAGATAAATTAATATATTTTTTAAAAAATATAGACAAACTAATTATATTTTAAAAACCATACGGACCGCATTGTAATTTTTCTGGATAAAAATTAGTTGGGGTCAGTCGAATATCACTAATATAAATGATAAGGTGTTAAATTTGCATAAATCTCTTGTTTGGTTTGGGTGAAAATAATAAGGACCCTTTCTATTCTATTTTCGCTCCATTTTAAGAGGAAAATAAATAGTAATTTTACACTCTTATCTTACTTTCACCCTTATTACTTCCCCTCGTCGTGGCATAAGTCTTTAACCCAAATGGGTTGAGTGGTCATCACCGGTTCATCACTAACCAGTGGCAATAATTATTGACTTGCAATAATTAAATGTCAGTCACAATAATTCCCATGCTCCAAAAGTGCTCAATCTCCATTTTCATCGACCTTTTAGAGTCGTTTGGTTGCCGGGTTAGCCAAGACCTCCCATGTGATCCCTCTGCTCTATGCTCCTTTTCTTCTCCACTTAGAGCATTGATGTTCTCCCTAAAGGATTTTTTTTACCAGTTGATTCCTCCATTTTTTGATGGCTTTGACAAAATAGTTATACTTCCTTTTTATAGTGTTGTCTAATTTCGATGTTCCTGAATCACTGAACATGCATGAATTCTGGGGATAACATCAAAACATATATTATATATATTTTGCCTATAATATGTGGCATCTTTATCGACTTATACTAATGGAATTAATTTATGCTTGAATTGTGCATAATCTTCGAATAAATTTCTTTTAATAGTGATGATTGCAGATCTCAAACTCATAATATTGCAGATAAAGTTCATTTGATAATACAATTTACTTTCGCTTATCCAATCATCTATTAATACGATGATTTACCTACATTTAGTGAATGACCCATTGATATACCAAATTAATCCAATAAAATTAATTGATGTACATGCAAGTATTATTATCTTTTCACAAGAAAATAAAAAATATATAAATTAATAAAAATTATGAGAATCTTTCAAATGCCAATTCACAATTGGTTTGAGTATGGTGGTCTCCTACACCAGATATGGTACAAGTAATCTTACATCTCCATTTTTTTTAATTTTAGTTTTCCCAAATGTGTTCCTCTCTATATTAAAAATTACATAAATTTATTTATTAAATTATAAAATCTAATTACAAGATCAAGTAAAAATATGGTTGAATTTTTTCACTGTGCTCAACAGATTTTTACATAGTTCATTCTAAATTAAAGAAAAAAAAATTATCTCAAACATTAAAAAAAAAAGGAAAAGGAAAAGGAAAAAGCAGAGAGAATTTCAATATATTATTTTTCTATGAATTAGAGTTATTCATACATAAAAGAAATCTCATTCCAAATCAAACCAAAAAAAAAAAAAAAAATTAAAAAAAGATTATATCTCAACCATTTAAAAAAAAACGCGAAAAAGAGAAAAGGAAAAAAGCATGACCGAGACATTTCAAACACTATATATATTTATCCTCATGACATCTAGTTATTTCATACATAAAGAATCTCATTCCAAATCAAAAACCAAAAAAAAAAAAAAAAAATTTACTATCATATTGTTGGACCTATTTACAAACTTTGGCATAAACCAAAAAAAAAAAAAAAAATTTACATCAATTGTTGGACCATATTTAAAACTTTGGGCAATCCATTCTTGCTCACCATTTGTTTATTTAATTTGAGTTGAAATTAAGTTAAAAGCCATGACAATGTAAAGGACATGTTAATTAAATTATTGGGAGCTATGGAATAATATGGGAAAGATTTATCTACATTCAGTATATGGAGTCTATTTTGATTCTCGATGCACTAAATTAATTAAAAATAAATTTTTAGTTTAATAAAGATATTTTTTATCATTATCACATGTAGAAAATACTTATCTACATTCAATACATGGACTTACGCTACAACCAAATCAATTAAAAATATACTTTAAATTTAACGAGAGTATTCGCTTGGTGTACGAGACCATTCATACTCCAGGTGTAGCAAGTTTTATCCATCTTATATACTGCAGGAGAGGGAGTCATCGTCCTTTAAGTTTTTTAAAATTTAATTTTCTCCATTGAAAAATGTATGTGTTTACGTTCATTCATATTGATCCCTGACAACACAAACAACAGTACCATTACATAGGGACAATCGGTTCTGTCGTTTTCACTGACAAAGGCCAATCAATATAAAAGATATGTAGTCCTTAAGTGAGAGCATTCTACTTCGATTTTCCGAGGGATGTGAACCACTTTGGTACGAGTACAATTAATTCTGTCGTTTTATTGACCGGCGGGGACCTAAGTAAAAGGCTGGTCATTTTCATTATTTTACTCGAATTTGCCAACATGTCTTGTTAAGGGATAGTTTGTATTTAATGATAGATCGTTTTCGTGTTATGTACGGCTTGTCGTTCCGTTGGACAAAAGGAATAATACTGTGTCCAAAGTTTCCTTTTGTTTCATTTAATCTTTCAGATCATAGTCCATTAAAATTTGAGGTATCAGTTATTATCATGTATGTTCATATTAAATTAGGGATTTATATTTATTCCAAGTCTTAACATCAAAGATTATACATAATTATAGTCTATTTTAACAACTTGTTTTTTCCTTTTCTATGATGCATGCTCTTGGTTGTACACTTGTACTGGATTTTATTCCCTTTTGTGCTCTTATTTTTATGATATAATATAATTTCTGTCTGTACAAAGAAAAAGATAAAAATGTTATTTGTTTTTTAATTAATATAATTTCAAATATAAAAAGGTTCTTTGATAAAGTCAATTCATGATATTATGAAATACTAATTATTTTAATTAAGCATATTGTTATCTTATGCTTAATGGAGAATCCTTTTTTTTTTATTATTAGAAAAATCTAATATATTCAAGTACTAACTCCAATCGATAGGCCTCTTCTCTTCTTCCACGGGCCGCTACCAGTGTGCTCTCACTGGTGGTCACCCCTTTTCCTTTTTTTTTTTTTTTTTTTTTGCTTACCCAGTGTTGCTCTCACGGTTGGTCACCCCCCCCCCTTTTTCCTTTTTTTTTTTTTTTTTATTTTTTGCAAATAATCTTCAGAAATCTCATTATAATATTTAGTATTGTCACTATTATTTTTTTTTTTTTTTTTTTAATTTTTTGCAAATAATCTTCAGATCTAATTATATATTTGAGTTATTGTCACTTATATATTGGGATTTATTATTGCCCATATATACGGATTTTGTCCTCAGATCTATTTCTGAGTTATTGTTATCACCATTATGGTGATTTTTTCTAACGTCTTTTATTATTTAGGTAGTTATGTAGAAAGAAGTGTAGATTTACTCTCCAATAGAAGGAATAAATTTGAAGGTAATCAGATCGGACTTGTAGAAAAATCATGGAGTCAACCAGTGGCCATGAATAGCCATAAAGTGGAGCAAGCGATCGCCTATGGTATAAATATTATGCTCTGTCAATTCAATCAGATACTTCAAATCAAGATTATATTTTTTTATTCTTTATATAAGTGATTTATTATTAGGTTTCCTATACAAAAATATAAAAATATATTGATCCGTATCTCAGTTTCCAATTAATGAATTGATTTTTCTAAAAAAAGAAAATCATGTCGATAGGGTCCCTATTTAAAGCTAATCTGGTTATATTAGGTAAAAAAAATATGATGAAGACCTCTTAAATGAAACAAGAAACATTAATGGAAAAATCCTACTTGATCAAATTATTAACATTAAATAATTAGGGGCTATATATTTAATTTAATTATTTCACATTGCTTATTGTTTTTAATAATATTACTCATATTATCAATTATACTTATTTCAACTTAGTCAATTCACGTTTGTATATGGGTTCCCTGAACAGCATAGGAAGCCAGACACCTGGACTCTCCTTAAAACTCTAGCTAGTCAGCACAACCTTCCTTGGCTTCTAATGGGCGACTTTAATAATCTACTTGCAGATGACGAGAAGATAGGGGGCCACCCTTATGAGCTACGTAATCTTGAGGGGTTTCGGGAAGCGCTGGAGGTGTGTCGGGTCTCCGATCTTGGTATGGTAGGGTATCCGTTTACATCGCGGTCTGGTAGGGGACGTAATAAAATTGAGGAAAGACTGGACCGAATGGTGGCTTCAGATACATGGTCTCGCTTTTTCCCAAATGCTTCGGTTCACAACTTAATTAGTGGCACATCGGACCATTCTCCATTATTGCTTTTAGTGGGCACTGACCTAAGGACTAAAAGACAAGTTAGCTTCAGGTTTGAAAATGCATGGATTGGGTAGCCTAACCTTGATGAGACTGTTATTCATAATTGGGCTCGAGGAGCCCACAGGGATGTGATGGGTAAACTGCAAGCATACAGAGCTGGGTTGCAAATTTGGGGACGTGACTTACGTAGCATGTTCCTTAAAGAAATTAAATTGCTTAAAACCCGACTTAATGGCTTTCGAGTCCACCAGCGCAATGACAGTTCAAAGGAGTACTTTTTAATACAAAAGCAGCTTGGTGATTTGCTTCTTAAAGAAGAGCAGCATTGGAAACAGCGATCAAAAATATTCTGGCTTGCCCATGGGGACAAAAATACCAGGTACTTTCACTCCTCAGCTTCTTCACGTAAAAAATTAAACTATCTTCCAGGTATCCGAGACTCAAGAGGTGACTGGAAGGAAGAACCGAG